GGGGGGGGGGGGGGGTGCAAAACAGGAAAATTGTAAGTTCACAAAAACAAAGTTTTGTTATATTTGAAAACCACATATAATAACCCCACTGTTTGGAAAACAATGCTAAAAACATGCAATTGAATCTATTCCTACGTAATCTAGGTGGAATCGAAGTACTCTCACATCCCCAATATCATATAATAATATCCAAGTCAAATCCTTTGACTCCACCCAAACTGTTCCCGAAACATAGACTTATATATATATATGGCAGTGTCACACTAGCAAGAGTACGAGGGAAACAATCTAACACGGGGATTGTTTGACAAGCCCGCAGGGTTTCAACTTTCTACCCTGCGTCTAGGGATAAGCTGTCCAACCGGGGGACTACCACTCTACAGCATACACGCCAGGAAATCCAATGCCACGTGTGGCCAAACCCAACCACTAAGTCCTACGTGCACAGACTGCTTTATCACACGCCGTGATAAAGTACAACATAACCAAATTTGCCCACAAGCCGGATAATCCAGCGCCACATGTGGGTACAGTAATCAGGGGAGGGTACTTAGCATGGTGAAATCACATATTCACATAACAATCAATAAAGTACCCCAACTCATTTTAATCTCTTGCCCAATTATTCAATCACAGAGTAAATAACAATTTCTCAAAACATATTGTTGGGGTCTTTTTCCTTTGGATGTAGATAATCTAATCAAGATTTAGCTTGGTTTGGCATGAGAATGGAATGAAGTTGAGTCATACAATTCCTTGGAATCAAGGTATAGCCTGGTATGACATGAGAAAATTTGAAGTTTCCTAAAATTTATGTGCTAGATGCTTGACTTGTCCTTGAGTTGGTTTTTTTTTCATGCAAATTTGGCTTGATTGATTTGCTTGGCATGTTGTAATTTCCTTCTTGGCATGTTGCTGAGGTCATGTTTGCTCATTTACAGCACGGGGTTGCATGAGTCTGAATGGCAACATGTTTTAACATGGGTAAGCCCCTAAGAGGTTAAAGTCTCGAAAAGGCATAATGTTTGGGAGTGAATTGCAAAATTGATTTTTGACAAAGGCTAGGTGTGCTGATTACTAGTGGAAACTCATTACTGGTGGAAACTCAGAGGTAGATGGCTTGTTGTAATCAAAGAGATGATTTATATTGTATGGCAAAAAAGGTGGATGGGTTTTCTTGTTTGGATGGCATGGTGTCCTTCTTTGAATTTGCTTGGCATGAAGCCCCCAAGTCAGCTTGTTGGGGTCAACAATTGGTTGCAGAGTTGGGTACGTAGAGGCCTGCTTTTTTTTTTTGTTCTCCTACAACTTGCTTCAAAGAAGATCTTTGGAAGAAGCAAACTGAAGATGAGAAGGAAGAGGTGAAGCGAGTTGCTGGAAGAGATACATACAGCTTGTTTTCCTCCAAATAAGTAACAAACAGTTTACTTTCTTCCAGGAGGAAAACTGAAATTTACAGCAGCTTCTGGATTCTTGTCTCTCTCTTTTGCTTGGCATGAAGCCCCCAAGTCATTTGGAGTTTGCATGTGTAGTTTGCTATGATGGATTTGCCTAAGCCCTCATAGGCCTTTTGCAAGATGTTTTGTTAGAGAAGGTATATCTACAACATAAGAGAAAATATTAGAAATGTTTTTGCATCATTTTTTTTTTCAGAACAACTTAACAAAGCAAAATTGAAGAGAATGCTCTTATCTTCAAATTTTCTTGTAGTGTAGTTGCATGAATACTAATTTCAAAGCTTGTGATTTTCAGGAGCCACTACAAGACTAATGGCCTAGTCCCCAGCAGAGTCGCCATTTATGTTGGGGTCTTTTTCCGTCGGAAGGCTCCTTCAGGCTTGTTGATTCTCGGACCGCCATAGAGTGGTGGATCAAGCCTTCGTTGCCCCTTTTTCTGAGTTAGCGAGGACTAGGCCCAAAGCATCCCAAGGGAACAGCATGTCCCAGGGGAGTACTCTGTTCTTCTTCCAGTGGCTGCGTGTTTGGTTCTGACGTTTCCGGCAGCTTGACGAAGAGTTAAAGATGACTTGCTGATGTTGATATGAAATTATATGAGCTTGGAATAAGAGCTTGGAGTGTGGGAGCTAAAGATCCACAAGTTTAGCAAATGAGAATGCATGTGCTTGGCTTGGTGTTGGATATGCTTGAGTTTGGGTGTTGATAATTTGATGTTTGTGGCTATGGTGCTTATAGCTTGGAAGGAAGGGAAAGCTTGGAGTTATGCTTGGTGAGGCTTCATAGAAAAGAAGATGGATTTCAAGAGGAGGAGGTTATGGTTGTAATGCTTACAACAACCAAAGCAAGAAGTTGTTGTGTTGCTCCAGCAGCTAAAAGAAGCTGAAGAAGGGGATTGATGGCTGCTGGGATGCTTGCAGCAGCCAAAGCAAGAAGTTGTTGTGCTGCTGTTCGGTTCGTTTTTACACATGATTTATCATGTTATTCACCTAATATTTTGAGTTAGTTCTTGACATTTTATAGCTTTTTACTTCCTTTTTGTGTTTTCATAGGTTTTACCTTGGTTAGAATGAAAATGAGCTAATAGTGCATTATTGGTTATAAATTCTGATTTTGTTCATTTTCGTAGGTCCATTTCTTGGCCTTGGATCAGCATGCTCTGGTGCTCATATGAGGTGAAGATCTTTATGAAACCTGTTCCAATGGATGTTAACTACAACATATCCAAATTTGAGCTCCATTGGACAAGTATAGCCTATCCAACTGATCCTACATGTTACCATAGCTCCAGAGAATTATCTTGCTCCAGTTTTTACCTCCATAAGTGTCATCTTGATTCTTCTTGTTACCATAACACTTGGTAACAAGAAATTACTTTGGTTGAAATATATTTTCTGAAACAAAGAGCATCTTGGTGAAGACAAGAACAAAAGAACCCATCTTGGCAAGGAGACAAGGCAAAAGGCTTTGGCAAAAGAATGAGTTTTATATTAAAAGTGAGAGCTGGAAAGCAAGGTGAAGGATGCGCAAAGGAGCAAAGGGAGTGCAATAAGATTGGAAGTGATTCATTCTACATTTTGCAGAGATTTTGGAGTTGGAGATGAAGCTTGGAGCTAGGGAGCTCAAGGAGGAAGACAAGGGCAACAAAGCAAGAAGTGGAAGAGATTTCCACCATTGAAGACCTTGAGCTCCCATTTTCACAAAATCTTTATACTCTTTCTAGTTTTGTTTTGAGTTTGTATTTGAAATAAGTATGAGGAACTAAACTCCATAGCTAGGGCTTAGGTTGAAGCCCTAAACATGATTACTCTATTATTTTGATACTTGAGTGTATGAATTTCTAGATTTTGTTGATGAATTTCAATTCACTAAAATAATCTATCCTTGATGTATGTTCTTCTTTGATTGATTAC